AGGGGGGGGGGGGTCGAGTATTTTAGGAGATGGAAAATGGCAGACGATGCGGTTTGCAATGCAGATCGGGGTTCCTAGTGTGCCCAATTCCTCAGTCTCGTTTTGACGGTTCGTACGGTGTCGTTGGCGGCTCTCGTCATTTTTTTTTTAACCTTATTTGCATGAGAAAAGGCCGTATCGAGCGCCATCGCATGAGCCATGCGTAAAATAGAGGAAAAGCTGCGTGAGCCCGGTATTTGAAAATTTGTCGGATGAATGAAGAAAAAGAAATCGATTTACCTCTCGCAGACTACTCCCCCTTTCTTGATGATTATGCAAAAAAAAAAAGTATATCTCAAATCGAATGACTGTACTTGTGCATAAGAATGATTGTATGTATATGTCTGTCGTGTGACCTTGAAAGAAATTTTATACTCCAACTTATACGAATAGCGGAGCGACGTATAATTGGGTGTGTGATTTAAGAAAGACTTGCAATGTTGAACAAGACTGATGTATTTTGGCGATAGCGAAGTCTATGTATAAGTTTTTGTTGTCCTGATGTAATCTGACGCTACGGAAAGCGTCGAGGGTAAATGGATTTGTCAAATCATGTCCAGGCTCCAAAATGCTATAGGTAAAGGAGACCCATAGCATTTTGGATGTTGGAGGTATATGGGTCCTGTATTGTCCTTGTGAATTAGGTAGTAAGTTATATTGAGTTCAAGGTCCAGGCAGGTTCTCCACGTGTAAAGAACTGACCATATCACATATATATATATATATATATATATATATATTCATTAAATTTGTTATCATTTGTAGTATCTCTGGGCTTTATCTCTCTGTAGCCAAAAGGGATTTTAAGTAAAAATGACGTTTGTCTATGGCTATCCAGGACTCAGTGTAACTCTTATAGTTAGACTCCTAGAGATTCTTGACGTTCAGCATCCCAAGGACTCTTGACGTATGATTAATAGATCGGATAAATATATCTGCCGTTGACAAAATGTTTTCCAATAACGTGAATTTTATTATAAACGTGGATTATCTATAAGGATAAAGCTAACTTCGTGGAGCCTTACCCCGTGAAGGTCTTTCAACTTGGTAATGCTGTATCTTCGTATTCGTAAGACGCGGCTGTATTTTCATTTTGAAAAAAAAAAAACTTAACGAAAATAAGATAAGGCAGATGCGCAAAGGGATACAGATGGTTATAAAAATGTATATCGGTTAGGTTAGTTTAGGTTGGCTCAGGTTGTGCATAGTAATTTTCAGAACAGCCGACGGCTAGTTTCTAAGTCTTGAGAGCAAAGGTTACGTTGGACATTTTATTTTATTACATCGCCCCTCTCAATTCGCTTTCAGTTTATACGAATTCTCGATACGTACACGTGGACGGGAAGTAGCCTTTAAGTGACGTAATTCTTGAACATTCATTCTCTTATGTTAGACGGAACATACGCAATGGTTGGGATGATGGATTTATCTTGGAACAATGTCAAGACGAACATTTTAGGCTTCAAGAATGATTTATATGGGTTATTTCATTTAGCGTGGAACGAGATCGTGAATCGATGCGGTTTAACGATATCCTGAGTATATCGAATTTTCACGAGATAGCCTACAGGAGTTTTCGTCTTTGTTATATATATTTTGAAAATACTTAATTTTTTTTTTTTTGGATTTAATGTTTTTCGAGAAATAAGAATTTGAGGATTTTATGCACCACCTTGACTTGCGGTATAGGTATAGGATTTTACCTCATCCTTGTTCACTATACGTATATCCGTATGTAACCATGTATTTTAGAAAAATATACGGGGGCACATATTTTGAGTAATAATATTTGTACTTGAAAGAATTTTTTTTACACGATGTAAATGGATTTTGATGAAAAATTTTTAGCGGTGCCTCGTGCGAGCTGGTATGAAAATATACTTAGTGGGTTGGG